CCAAAAAAACTGAGTCAGATATCCCAGCAGTCTCTAATGGTGTGGAATGTGACCACTGTTTCTTTGTTTCCTGGAAACTCTCCGCGTACCGCGTAGCAGAAGACAATGGCTCGCGTCTGGAATAAGTTGGAAAATGATCCTGAATATATATATATATATATATATATATATATATATATATATATATATATATATATATATATATAATAAATTTAATTAGAAAACAGACAGCCTTAAGGGTCAATTGATTATAATTTATAACCCAGGAAGGTTTTTTTCCTGGTTCTTCAGATCACATTTTCAAGCATAAAAATGGTTTTAAATTTACGTATTATTTTTATACACTTTTGAGGAGTAGTTTTAAGTTGATGTAAGGTGATAACCTACCTACCTCCCTATATATATATATATATATATATATATATATATATATATATATATATATTATTTGAATTTAATTTCAATCCTTCATGAGATTCCGACCCTTAGTTTTAATTAATTAATGATGAACATGTCATTTTCGTTTATGATCGATTTAGTTACGATTCTTCTGTTAAACTTGGAGAGTAATTATACATTCTTATCGCGCAAAGTAGAGTCCAATAGTGTTATAAAAACCCCGGAGAATTCCAGTCATTTATCTTTAATCATTTCTAATCTTAATCTAACAATTGAACAACTTTACTGTTACACAATTTGGGCGATTTTGCTGTTACACCCCTACGACACTTTGAGTAGCACTGTTGTATAGAAGATCCATCGTAGTAGCACAGCTGACAGACACCTTTAAAAATCTATGATTTCAAAAAGAAACTCTGTTCTTTTTACTTTCGCCTATACGTAGAGACATGTCCCTAACGGGAAGCGCTCTTTTCCAGCCGGTCAGTAAATAATACTTTTCTTTGTTCGGAAATCTAGATTTGGGAACTCGGACGAATTTTTTCTACAGACTTTTATTATTTAAAAAAAAAAAGTTTTTCATAAACTTTTAATCTGTAGTGTATTTGATTTCATTCTTATGTCTTTTTCCTAAAAGCATTTTTGATGATATAGACCACCCCTCGAAAAATATACATACCACTTCAAGTATAGTTACGACATTGTTAACTGTTGAACAATATAGAGACGTTTTAAAACTCTCGAAAGACTCCAATGTCAGGTCAGTCTGTGTGTGCTATTGGTCCTGGGTTGACTAATCCGGTTCCCCATCAGGCTTTTCTGTTGAGGAGGGTGACTAGATACCCAGCAGGATTAAAAAAGAATGTCAAAAATGGATGAACCTTCTTGTATGGTCAACGGCCATATAGCACAATGGGGTAGACTGGGTTCTATAGCCGTGTGATGACACGAAGGATAATTATTTATTATCTGGTTGTATTGTGGTGTTGAAGAAACGAGAGACAATAATACTGAGTAAAATTGTGAGTTTGGGGTCAAATGTAGATCAAATATGGATCGGAATCCGACAGAAGGATAAGATAAAGAAAAAGCAAAGTATATAAAGTATGTTTTATATATATATATATATAATTAGTAAAAAAATTTATAACATAAGTATGTTTAAAATCTACAAAAATATATATATATATGGTGTTGAAAAGAAAATAAATTTATATATATATATATAGATGCGTGTAATTAATGAGTGTCCAGATAATTTAGTTGGAAAAATACAAGAGGTGTCTGGAGTTTTCTTACTCCGAATGCTAAAAGATAAATATTATAGCCTGAAAAAAGGAAAAGGAGATAAAATTTTCGTTGACGCACGTGTTAACGACCTGCACGTGTAAACTGTTTTTAGTGGGAATGTCACGTGTTTGTGTTTATAGAAGAGAAAAGTGGGATCGATTCTGCTTGGTTTAGAATAAGTGAATTAATGATAATCATAATTTTTATAGTTATTTTATTTTAATTATTTTTAACACTATAATATTTGTGACACGCGACCATACATATAAAATTGTTCGGAGAAAAATAAAAATAAAAAAAATGGCATATATGAAGAAGAAAAGTAAGTAAGGGAAGGAGGATAACAGAAATAATAATTAATATTAGGCTATCTTTCAAATAAAATCAAAATTTAACTTCAAAGAAATAATGCGTTTTCAAGGGTTTTTTGTACATCCGTGGCAGTACCTATAAATTAATATTTAATATTATTAATATTTATTTATTATTATTATTATTAATATTTATTTATTATTATTAATTATTATTAATATTTATTTATTATTGGTCGTGGTTATTTTTGACGAATAATACTAATAAGTTCAATAGCATTATCATGGCCTTTTACTAAGCGTAGCGTACATGTGGCACAAGAACTCAAGAATCGGTCACCCTGTGAGTATCGAGACAAGCTTGCTAACCATTTACACCACGTCAAAGTGCCCTCTCATAGACTGAGGCCAAGAAGACAAAATTAGTCTTCTGTTTTGTTTTCAGTTCCGACAAAAAGCGAGGGATGTGAAGCAAGTCCATCATTCTCTATAGCGCCGTGCTTGCTTATTTTCCCTTTTTTATTTTTCCTAAAACAGAAATATATTCAGCACTTCACAAGTACGTGACAAAACAACTGTCAATAAACGTGTAAGTCAATGAACATATGTTTTCTTCGCGGAACAATTGCACTTACAAGCAGCTGCTACTAGCTTACCTCTTTTTATAGAAAACAAAAAGGATTATTTCTGAAAGAAACATATTGAATTAAATATTATAACAATCACGCGTTTATTTTGATGTTATTCCTCAATATTTCTAAGTGATAGAATCATTCAAATCAAATATTATCTTCTATCCGGTATGTGCAGTTTTTTTTGTTTTTTTTTCCTCTATTCCCGTTTTTAGTAACGGTGGTCGCATGGATTGAGATGGATATTTTTATTTCTATTCAAACGCATAAGTAATAAAATAATCACAATTGAGAAGATTAGAAATAAAACTCCCGATTTAGCGTCATATTAAAAATGAAGTCTTATTCACCAACCCAACCCATATAAAATTGAATCATCATCGCTACAACGACCACAACTTGTGTTATTATTCCACTTTATAATTCTCTAGGGATAACTGCCTGAAGTAAAATGAAATCAGATCTTCCTGAAAATTAAACCACCTTAAATTATAAATGAATAACGTCACCATTTCCATCATTAATAGTGTTTTTCAACGTGGAGATTTTCTATTTGCTCCTACCTTTGCTTCCAAGAACGCATAAAAAGTTCACAGTTTACAAAGAAAAAAATTGTATAAATTCGAAGTTCAATTCGAAAGCAAATAACAACTCATATATACCAGAGGCTTACACAAACTTTTTAAATTAACAAAAGTCGCTCTTTGCCCAGTATCCAGTTTCCTAGACTGACCCCAGTGTCCTAGGAGACACAACAAAAGTTTCTAAGCCTTTGATGCTAAAATATACATTCACTTACACGCAAATAAAAAAGGTATGAATCCATCTCCTCCTCCGGCTATGGGTTAAATAGTAGGACTTTGGAAAATCACCGATATTCTCAAAATAAATTTAATGCAATATTCACTCGCAAAAAAAGTATTATTCTAAAAATCCAAAATATAATTTTTCTTTAAATATCTAACAAAAGGTTGACAACCGGTAAAATACAAAAAAAGAATCAATCAATTGTTGGTAGAATATAGTTTATAGTCATAATCGTTATGACCATTCATAAGAAGAAAGTAAGAAAATGTAAGTATTTATCTGAACGCCCACTCGAATGGAATCAGGCACAAGGCTAAGTTTGAACTGAGAAACTAAGAAAGTATAAACCTATTCATAAAATTTCGCAAAAAATATAAACCAAATTTTCAAAAATATAAAAATTTCGCAAAATATAATTGTTTTTTAACGTACTGTTAAATATTTTCTGGCGACAAGAATGACACCGAGAAAATTTTAATTTTATTATTATTGTTGTTAATAATAATAATAATAATAATAATAATAATAATAATGCAAAGATCTGAAAATGGAAACAGAAAAAAATGTGGTGCTTACAATTTGAAAACTAAAAAACTGTTCCTGTTGTAGTTGGAGCTTCAGGTCTGATAAAGAAAGGAACTCAAGAACATATCAACAAAAAAAATCCCCGGTTTACCATCTCTTCAGGAAATCCCTAAAAATAGTTCTCAAATAAGCAAAGCAAAGGCCATTTCCTGCGAAGGGCTTTGTCCATTTTTTTCTTAATAACTGTCTTTTGTTTAATTAAGTAGAAATAACAAACAAAATAAATCACATACTTCGCTTGTCCTAGGTCATTGGTTATGGCCTGGCACGTAATTAAAACGAATGCAGGCCAAAAAGATTTTTTTTAAATAATAATTAATATAGGGAAGCTTTACTGCTTTTAGTGTAATTGATCAAACCGAAAACAAATTCGTAAAGCGGCAAGCCCAAACTTACGATCAGTAATATCGAGTAAATAAATGTTTTGCTTTGGTTTTTTTGTTAAATCAAATTATTTCAAGAAATGTTTTTTCAGTGAAAATATATATTTTTTGTTTATTTAATTTAAAATCCATGTTGGAATATTATACACGCGGTTTCAAATACGAGCATGCTCATGCACACACACACACACACACACACACACACACACACACACACACACACACACACACACACACACACACACACAGCGATAATACGAAAAAAAAATGAATAAATAAACTAAAAATACTAATGAAATTCAGAAATGACAGACAAACGAAGAATGAGCTGAAAAATCCAATTCATCTGGGCTATAAACACACAGACGCATTGATTGTTGAAGACAAACAAACCAGACGTGCTGTTTCTTGAAAATTTTCTTTCTTTCTTTCTTTAAGACTAAAAATTACAACTCATTACTGCAATAAAAATAACTTGTTTTTAACTTTCAATTATTTGAAACGAAAATATTTTTAAAATTCTTATTCTATCTAAAAATATTTTTAAAAAATATTTCAATTCTTTTTTAAAAGACACCAAAAAATGCACTTACCTGGTTCCAACATGTTGTGTTCTGCCCGACGGTAGTCGTCGTCAACAACAGCCAGCATTTATTTATTCGTAACAATTAGCTTTCAGCGTGCAAAAATTAACGATAATCCTCTTTAGTGGATTTTAATTTCCACTGTCAGTGATTGTATTGTTAGCATATGGCCTTTTCAGCTCATTTATATTTTCCCACATTCACAATTCGACAGATACTCGCGCAGTTGCTTATTCTTCTAAAAGTGATTTCAGCGTCTAGTCTGAACCAATGAAAAACCACTGCTACACGCTGGGCCGGCCTTTTAGCAAAAGATCGGGATAAACTGTCCATTCTCTCAAAATCGATAATATGAAATCGGAAGTTTTAGCTTCTGCCAGCATGCTCAGCGCGCCAAGTGCATGTGTTATCAAGCATTGTCTCCTACTTTTCCTTCTCTCCTTCTCCAACTGCATTTCATGTCACAGTATCGGCGACTGCTACTTAACATTTTTTTTATCAAAGTCATAAAAGCTTTACGCTATCAGCCACTTGGACTCTGCCTGAAAACCTTCCTTGTTGAATCTCGTTTCGCGTTTATCTCTTTCTTTCCCGACTGAAAATAGAAGAAAACAGTTTTATCAATACTGTCAATCTGTACAAATCCGGGAGCCAGCAGAATTTCCTATAAAGTTATTTCATTTATAATTTCCTATATATTTCCTATACAGTTAATTATAGTTTTAATCTAAGTAAACACTACAACAGGTTGGAAAACAAAAAATTTTGTAGTCATATTTTTGCCATAAAATTGACAAGTCTTATTGCTAAAACTTAGAATTGACTTAATCCTTTCTTGGTACCGTCTTCTTACAACATCGTACAAAACGTTTTCCGTTATTTAGCCAGTGGAAAGTCAAATTTTCGTGATGAATCAAATAGTTTTCTGAATATCTCTTTCCAACGGGTTTCTGGCTTTAGTCATAACTTGTGTAAATTACAATCACGTGACTGTAAAGTAAAGAAAGACTGTCTGAAATAATTGTGGTAGAAACGTTTGCAAAGATCACAGTAAACTTTTCTGTTCATTGCTTGGAATGTAGAAAAAACAGTTCAAGAGGCATCAAATTGAACATAAATTGTTTTATAAGATCATACTGAAGATAAAATTTTTGGAGACTTAGAAATGCATTTTAAATATTGGTATTTTACTGACTACTCTGTCGTGTTATCTTGTCGTGTCGCTGTGCCAAGGTTCACTGGTTCTCTGCGGGTCGGGGGATAAATGACGAGTTGTCAATGCTATCACACCGGTCATAATCTGTTCTCTCTATATTGCAACTAGCCACACTGCTATCTCTTGTCTGCTATGTTGCAACTGGTGTTGTGTTTACCTGCTGAGTCGGATATCCGACATGCCCGTGGTAAATCTTTTAGCTGAAAATTACTTCTAATCACAGGGCTATTCTGATCATAAACAACTTATTTATTGGCAGTTATTACACAATTCCATCTTTTTACTTATTTTTGTTTGTTGAAGGAATTGCTCACAAGAATTCCTTTCCTTTTAGGCTTTTTACTATCAAGGGTCATTTTAACATAGGTACCTTCACAAAAATGATGCCTAAAGTTTAAAATGAATTTTTAAAAATGAAAATCTTTCTTGAAGCTTTTATTCTAGTTTTAACTCCAAGTGCAATGGATTAAATTTAATATTTTCAATAAGCAAAATACTTTGCTGTATTTCAAAAATTAATTTAAATTGGCTAGATTTATTTATTTTATTTATTTATTTATTTATTTTTTACTAAAATAGCTGATTAGCACCCTTTTTTAGTTGTCTTTCATCGCAATGTAATTCTCTTTATTTAAAAAAAATCTTCCCAAAATAAAATATACTTTTCTGAAACCTTATTTGAGGGATATTAGCTGATTTAAAGTATAATTAATCTGATTTAACAGTAGTGGTGACTCATTTCTTTCTTTTAAAGTAGGTCCATATCTCAAACGACAGATCATTTCCGTTTATAAAGTCTTCGGACGCTGGAGTTTTCATGTAAGCCATTTCTTCAAACAAAGACAACCCCATCCCGACAAATATCAGATATTCTTACGGGGGCTGATAGCTCAACCCATAAACATGTATACAGGTTTATCAAAAATACTTTTACAAACTTTGAGGGCGACTTCCTTACACCAAAACAATGACAAAATGAAAAATCCATATAAATATATGTCCGCAAATCCTTCGTTTTGGGGTTTGAAAAAAGTTTACAGGAGATGGTGCCGTGTTACCATATCGACGAGGTTACATTTGTCATTCATGTACATTTTTAGCTAGTCTGTCGTCAACGTTTAACGTGTGTAGTAGTGAGTTAACTGAGAAGTGTTCCGTTTAGCAATGGCAGGTTATTCATATCGTGAGTAGCCAGACATGATTTTTACATACGACTGCGTGAATAGCAATAGACGCTAGGCTGCACGACTGTTTCAGATTGCGTTTCCAGACCGAAGACGGCCGAGTTATCTACCCTTTTGGTGCAGTTTATCGTCGCGTTGTTGAGAGAGGATTCGTGGCACCATAAACTTTGTCTCAAAGAAGGCTGAGATCCACTGGTACGCCTGACCACGAAGAACACATTCTACGCATTGTCGGAGACGATCCAGGTATCAGCACACGTCAAGTAGCCCTAGTATGTCGTACATTACATAGTATTGCATGGAAAGTACTTCAAGAGCAGCTTCTGTATACATATTATATGCAATGTGTGCATTGTCTTTCGCCCTCTGATCACTCACCACGTGAGAACTTTTGCCGATCGTTTATTGCACAAACTGCCGATCCATTGTTTGTCTCTTCAATCTTGTTTACGGATGAGGCAACATTTGGAAGAAATGGAATAACAAATTTATACAATCAACATTTGTGGGCGGATCGGAATCCCCATAGTACAATACAGGCTTGACACCAACATCAGTTTACGATTAATGTGTACGCTGGAATTGTAGGTAACTCTCTGGTAGGTCGATATGTTCTCCCAGCACGTCTTACAGAATCTGTCTTTATTTCGAACACACTTCCAGACATACTAAAGGATGTAACCCTGCTAATATAAAGACACATGTGGTTCATGCATGATGGGGTTGCAATACATTTTAATCACATTGGTCGCATTGCAAGGCTGACATCTACCATGAAAGATAGATAAATAGGAAAGGGCCGGTTCCATGTCCTGCACATCGCCCCGACCTCAATCCTTTGGATGTTTATCCGTGGGGTCAACTAAAACAATTGGTTTATGAAGCAGACTATAATAATTCTGTGTTGACGTACAAAGATGGCCTTAAATTTAACAGCGTCTACCGTAAACTTTAAACTTAATAACTCAAAAATGAAGGATTTGCGGACATATGTTTATATGGACATTTGTCCTTGTTTTGGTGTGAAGAACCCACCCCCAAAGTTTGTAAAAATATTTTTGATATACCTATATATATATATATATATATATATATATATATATGGTATTTATCAATCCACCCACGGGGATCGAATGTGGCACAAAGCCTTTTTAATGTGGGTATCTCTGAGCCCGTAGGCCCAGCCAAAAATAAATAACCATCCAAACCCGCCGAGGCGGGCCAGTTTCGTCAACCTCCCCCAACGAAACCCTACACCTTCGGCGGAGCTTCGTCCGGGTTCCTCTCTGCAAGCAGAGAGTTCGACAGACACCCGACCCGGTAGCTCACAAAGCGCAGATACTACACTTTGATCCTAGCCACCGGACCGAGCGGGTATTCTTTTTATAGATAGATAGATAATATTAGTGGTAAATATACACATACATATGCAAAATATATATACATACATGCATACACATACATATATATTTTGTATAAAAAATTCCAAGAGGATAGAATCCAGGTAGAATTCAATGTCCAGAACAGAGTAAGGATATAATAAAAGGTTTAAACACTAATATTCCATGGAATATTAGTGTTTAAGTTTTTTTTATATATATATATATATATATATATATATATATATATATATATATATATATATATATATATATATATATATATATATATATTATTTTCCGAAGTTGGGTCGAGTGGTAAGCACATTTATTTTACTGAATACGAAAATAATCGGATAATTTTTGCTTACTCGGTAATTCAAAGATTCTTTTAAATTAGGAATACAGGTTTCAATTCTCAAAGCCTTAATTAACCGTTTTATTTGCTTTCTTTCACATCATAATTTTCTCAATTTTCTGTATCCGCATCCTAATTTTAATTTATTGAATATAACTATTTCGTCTGCTACAGCCGCGAAACACTATTCATATACTACTAAAATCTTGGACGAGGTGGTCACTCTGCCACAGTATGTCCAGGCGCTAAATCACGTCACCACCTCGTTCTGGCACTCTGTCTCTGCCGATTCTGTCTCCACGCTTGTAATGAGCTATGACGATATTTAGGAGGTCAGCAAAAAAAATCGGTTGTATGAGACGGTTCCAGCGGCCAAAACTAACCGCGATAAGTCTGTTGGTTTGCAGTTGAACTAGAGTATGTTTGTTCCCCGGCTTTTCCACTGTACGTACGAGTCGTTCAAAATACTCGACGTCTGGTTCGGTACCGACATTCAACTGCAGAAGAATTGGTCAGAAGTACTGGTGAAGATCGATCCCGAAATTGATCTGTGATCTCGAAGAAGTATTTCCTTGAAGGGGAGATCCGGAATGTTCGTTTCTTGCATAATTAATGTGCTAAGATCTCGCTGCCAGTCTAGTATTGCGCTTAAATTCATACAGGCTAGGTACCACAGCAAAGAGTTCATCCGAACAATTAAAGCACAGAGAAGCAACCTTACAGTGCTTAACAAGTGACTGAAGCCGAGACGCCAGATCAGGACCAATAATATTGCTGATTCTTCTTTTGGATATTATCAAAGAGAATACATTTGCTATTATTAATAAGATTTGAACATCTCAGAAAAAATATTCTCAATAAATCTCGTGGGACGTTTATAACAAAGCGCAGAAATGGCATCCTATTTACACTATGGGCCAAAAGTTTGAA